ACTACTGCCACTTGTCTAGTGGTAGAAAACTGAAAGGTGGGAAATGTATGCGAGGAAAAATCCATCTGCCTATCTGTAATTTCTCTCTCAAACTAGAAGAAGGTTTTGAACTGTAAAATGACTATTTTTCCTTTGTGATTAACAGGAAATCAGTAAGCAAATCTAAAATCAATCAAGGTACGTATTTTTATGAAATTTCTATCTAATTTTCTTTGAGATTTCTATTGGAATATTCAACAGATTTCTATCGAAAGGAAAACATATGAGTTCCACCAAATACGAGGTAACATCTCTAAAGAAACTCCGAACAAACAATCTACTTTTGAAAGAGAGATGCTGCATTGACCTCAACATCCTCTTTGGCTTGTCTATCAAATGGATCTTCACCAATGTACAAGTCCAAGATTGATCTGCACAAGATTTTGCTTTGTATACGTCCAACCTCCTTGCCATCAACTACAAAAACAGGAACTAGAACTTAAAGACTAAAGGCCACATTCAGATTAGACAACATTAATACCTGAAAATAAATAAAGTACATAGCAAAACTTCTCCATGCAAGTCAGCAAGCATGTTGTAATGTAAGTCAAGAATTTCAGAGAAGAGGCAAGTGACAGCAAATTATGCTCGTAGAGATGCAACTAAGGATAACACCGCTTGGGCATTTATAAATAGTCTTGACACTCGAATACTATTAACTGGAGCTTTCTGTGATTTATAAATATAGTTGTCCAACATATATAGGAAATGTTCATAATCTGCAAATTTAGAATGTTGTATTTAAAAATCCTTGTCTATACGAATGAAGTATTGATAGAAGTAATAAAGGCAATGACCCCATGTTAACACTTAAGAACCGGGTTAGTGACAGTTGCACTAACTTCTCTGGTCAATTTCTTATAGACAAATTTAGGCATAAAAGATTTCAGAACCTTACTTGTTGTTCGAAGTACGTAGCCCTGTTCCCTTGAGAGGTCTATGACAGATCCCCTTGGTATTTTATATTCATCTTTGAACTGAGAAGTAAACCTGCACTTCAATCAACTATCGGGTTAGCCGGAAACATAAAAGCATTCGAAAACCATAGAAAGCGATGGAAGAAGAAAACAAATAGTAGTTTGTTGTGCATTGTACATTGCACATGTACAAACACACACATTTTCCAGTTCAACAAGCAAAAACCATCATAATAGAGATGCAAGTTCAAGATGAAAATGTGAGTCCAATCTCAAAAAAATTTCTGGTTTAAGCTGATAAAAAATATGCCAATCAATTATTTATAATCTAACACAGTCCCTCAAATTTAAGTCCACCAGGCTGCTGAAAAAATGAACAAATACAACCAAACCTTACTTGTGCAAAATCATGTATTCATACGAATATAGCAGTTAGCATTCAGATAATAAAAGTTTTACTTTGATAACATCTTAAATAATTGATTTAACGAAAGAAGCTGATAGAAAATAGTTCAATCAACCTGTTTAAAGTCTTAGCACTACAGACAGGTATAAAAATCCATCCTTGGCAGGCTACCAACAGAATTAGCTTGGTAAATGTAGTGATAATGTAGAATTATTAGAGCGATTCATATGTAATTTTGAAGTCTCCCCACCACCTGGAATTTCTAAGTGATCCAGCACAGTTCATAATAGCTCATAGATTTAATTCAACCATACTGGTAAAATGTGTGTGGTTGCAAGAGGGATTCACCTTTGAAGCAATTCTTTATTATCTGATCCCCCAAACTTTTGGAGTCTGTTTCCCACCGACTCTTCAAAGGCACTTCTTACAGAACGGATACTCAGTTTGCCATAAACAATTTGAAGTCTCACAGTCATACGTATATCAGCTTCCATTAGATCGTCAATAAAAGCCTTGTTTCCCTTGAGTTCGGAAGCAGGTAGATTCCTATATTTTTCACCCAGCAATTTCTGTACACCATCACCATCAGCATAAACACCTGCAGCGGAGAAACCGAAGAAGCTGTAATAGCGGAGAATCTCGCCATATCCGTTGAGAAAATTCAGAGGAGAAAACTCAGAAAAAGACTATTTAAACAAGTAATGAAGGGAAATACCAAATGCATAGACATTGATGTTCTTCAATCCCAGGACACTCTTCTTCCTCAGCCCGACGCCAAGGAGTCGAGAATCATTAACAATAGAGGGGAAAGAGAAGCCGGTCTTGGATTCAACGACTGCACCCGAATTGTCAGCGAGCGACAGTGAGCCCCAAAGCGGAGAAGAGCGATTCGGAGAGAAGAGAAAGTCCATTGCGTTTTTAATGAATGGCTGCTTGGGATTCTGCAACACGAGCGCCGCAGCCCCGCCGGCGGCAGCAGCAGCGGCGACGGTGAATGCAGCGGACAAGGAGCGTGAGGAGATATTGGATAGCTTTGCGTTTCCGGGCTGAGAAAACAAGAAGGGGAAACGCAGGGAAGCCATTTTCGTCTTCTTGGGAAATTAGATCAAAGCTCAGGCAGCTTGTTCGTGAGTGAGTATCTGTCACGAGTGACATAAAAACATAACATAAGAACGTCGACTTAGCTCGGAGTGCAGTCCACGTGCTTCATTTGAACCGATAGATTAGCGCGTATATCTTAATTTCAAAAGAAAAGGAAGTTAGTTGGGCTTTCAACTCCCCGAACGACGTCGTTAAATCGGCGGATTTTCCGGCGGAGTTGTTAGAATCGTCGGCACTTAGGTGGGACCACGCAGTTGTAATCGTTAATAAGTTGGTGGATCGGGCTAGAGTTAATGGGCCCCATTTATTAAAAGCCCATGTCCGATTGATTTTAATTAGTGTCAGATTTAATTTCTTTTAAGCCAACCAACCAAGTTGGTGGACTGGGCTAAAACTGTAATTAGCTACCTCATTAATGAGCTAACTCTAATACATCTAATCTCTTAATTACGTAATAATTATAACTAATCACATTTAACTGTTAACTATAGTTAATTTTTAACTACAGTTTACTGACTATGGTTATTCTAATACTAATTAACCGATTATTTAAAAATTAATTACATGGGTCTAAAAATAATTGTGTATTTATAAAATTCTATAAAAGTTAATTGATAATTATATGCATAATATAATTTATATAACAAAAATAAAGTATATATTTATTAAGAGGAAAAAAGGAAATATATATATATATTATTTTTTATCTAAATCAGCCATGCAATTAATTTATTATTAAAATAAATATATTTTCAACATATGATAAATAGATGGTCTTCCATGAATCATATTTGAATTTTTTTTAAAAAAATTAAATAAAATTTTAAACATGATCTTGTTAATTTATGCGTTAACCACCATAAATATATATATATATAGGTATGTATATATAGTATTTTATATATATTCTTTTATTTCTTGAGATTAAAGATTTGAGTGTTGTAAATTGCATCATATATGTAATAAATAAATGATAAAAAAAATGTTTGATTCTATACTTTAATTTTTTATTTTTAATTCAACTTCAATACGAAAGATCTATAATATATGTTAATTAATGTGACTATCGTTACGTTACAAATTTATAATATTATTATATGATAAGTACGAAATATATAATTACTTTTTAGTACATTTAATAATATATAAGAATATTATAAATAAACTAGTTAAGAACAAAAGTAAACATTGAGCTTATTGATTTTTAGACACCAAACTTTTTCTCTTAATTTTTTTTTTATCTACTTTAACTTAACTATATGAGTAATCTAATTTATAATAAAAATTAATTAAGTTACGAACATCTATTAATAGATAGTACAGTTTCGATCTAAATTCTGAATTAAATTTTCAATAAAGAACCGATGAAAATTAAATAATTATTAGATATTTTTAACACTACATAATAGATTCTGCGAATACGGATGAATTCATTTTAAATTATTATTTTATAAAATTAATTTTTTTATATTAATTATATTTATAAATTATGTCAATTATTATATGTTTTTGGAATTTTTTTTTTTTAAAAAACAAAAAATTAGTAACATTGTTAACCCATCAACTTCACATTTGGCTGTGTGTGTAGAAAACAAAATTACAACAACCATTCAGGATTTTGTTTAATTATTTGTTTATCCATGACTGCCTAGATTTTGTGTGTTACAAAGACATTGACAAATTAAATTCAAAGTATAATACTAATATATAGTTTTTATTATTATTATTATAAATTTTATTTAAAAATTTATAAGAAAAAATATGATAATAATAATAATTTTTATAATAAACATTATCAAACATAAACTTATATTTTAAAATTATTTTTTTTTGAAAAAAAAATATAATTTTCATTAAAAAATATATAAATATCGAGCATACACACACTCAGTAATAATAAAAATTACAACTTTAATATAAAATATTATATACGAGTATAATGTGTGACTAAATTTTCATAATTATTAATTTGATTAAAAAAAAATATAGATATATATACATACAAAAAGATAATATTAAATAATATTAGAAGAGATGATGACTCAAATATACTTAATTAATTTGGAAATATTTTTAAAAAATTATCTAAAATAATAGAACATAATAAAAATTACTCTAAAAAATACTTCATTTTTTATTATAATAAATGCCAATTAAAATAAAGATAATTAGGATTAAGTGACTCCAAACCCTCTCTTCATTTAACTCAACAAAATTAAGAATTAAAAAAAAAATTCAGCAATTAAAGAATTAAGATAATTAGGATTAGGTGAGACCCAATTTGAATTATATGCAAAAATTATATATATATATAAAAATTATATATTAGATACGATCGGATTAAGTCTTACTTATTTCGTAAGTTAAAATAATGTATATATTTTTTGTTATTATAAGATTTCTTTACGTTTTGTTGAATTTTAAAGACTTATTTTGATGAGTTTTAAAATTTATCAAATTCTTATTTTTTTAACCATGTTAATTTTTTCACTCAAAACCGAAATAGAAATAAATAATAATGTATTCAACGAAACCAACAACGTATAATACGAAATATACATTGCGTTTGTAAAACCATCAATCATAATATTAATAAAATTATTTAAATACAGATGTAATTTTCTGAATCGTCATGTATATCACGAGAAATATATATAAATAAAATATTTATATATTAATAGGGTAAATCCATAATCAGAGACAATATTTCCGACAAGAGTGTAGAACAAATTTCAAGTAGCTTAATTAGAATAAACTAAGTAAAGAAGTGTGGAGTACACGTGAGCTGAAAGGAATAATGAGAATGGCATCTCAAATACATTTAATTTTTTGGTATCTAATGATAAGATTCTTATATATATATAATATAAAGTTGGTGTAAGTCTACCATATTATTAACAAAATATTAATTATTTGAAGAATTAATTTATTATTTTTTAGATTAAATATTCAGTTGATATGATTCAATTAATAAAAATATATTCGTTGTAATATCCGGAATTAATTTTAAAAATTTAAAATTAATATATAAAATATAATTTTTAAATTTATGAATTTTTATTTAATATAAAAATAAAAAAAAAATAGATGGATGATGAAATTGAAAATAATTTTGAGAAAAAAAGGATGAAAATTTGAGTTCGGGAGTAGTTTTTGAAAGAAAAATTGGAAACTAGGGGTTAAAATATAATTTAAAAAAAATGTGCTACGTACGGTCTGAATTTGTTTATGCATGCATGGACCGTCCGAATCCGTTCCCTCTTTAAGTGCAATAGTACGGTCCAAATCAAATTGCGATGAATGGTTCAGATTCATTTTCTATTTAAATGTGATCGGACGATTGAGATCAAACGCGATGTACGATGCAGATTAATAGAAGACGGGTATAAATATATCACTTCACACCGAACCCTAACCCTAGCCACCAGCCCCCCACCAGAGAAGAAGAACCAGTCGCTGGAGAAGGGAGCCGACCGCTGACTACTGTCGCACCAGAGCGACCTCCGACCGCTAAAAAAAAGGTAAAAATTTTTTCACTCGCTCGAAATTTGATTTTGAACACCCTTATGACCAAATTTGAGCATAAGAATTGGCAGATGAGACAAAAATTGTGGGTAAAGCTCTCCAGCGCTACCGTGGAAAAAACAAAAAATTACCTCCGATGAGACCATTCCCGATTCTTGTTTCGTACAATTTTTTGAAGGTGAGCTGATGGAGCCACTGCATCGAAAAACTCCGCTGCCGATAAGCTTCTGTTTTTTGACTTTTTTCGGCCAATCGAGACCCCTTAATGTGTTTTCTCGCAAGAATAGGTATAAAATTGGCCAAAATTAGTTAAAATTGGCCAAAAAGGGCAAGTACAAGGTAAACCACCGCCATAGGCGGCAGTGTCGTCGCCAAAGCACGGCGGTGCTGTCGTGCCGAAAATTTAAAATTGGCCAAAAAAGAGTTTTAAGACCAATTTTGAATTTTTGAGAATATTTTTAGGTACTTAAAACGTGTTTTAATCCCCAAAAAAATTCAAAAAATTTGGAGACTGCCAGTAGGCGTAGTTGAAAGTTTAATGTTTCAAACACCGATTCAGGTAAGAATCTCTCACATTATTCCCTGTTATGGAATTGAAGTTTAATTATAAATAATACAATATTTTACTTAATTTCAAAAACTTCGATAATTAATTACATGTTACTAATGGAGTCAGAATCAGTTATTTATTAGTGTTTGTCATGTTTTAACTGATTAATTGATTTTACAATTTCAAATACATAATAACACACTAGAGTTGGTAAGATGATTCAATTGTATTTTCTTAATGTATGTATTACTTGTTTTGTGTGATTTATATTTAAACTGTGAGATTGAAAATTAAATGTAAATGGAAATTGCTTGATTAAGTGAATGAATGAATGATAGTCTTACTGGATATCCTGAGAGATAGTGGACGGACCGAGTACATAGAGAACCCTATCGTGAACGTTGCCTCATACCGGATGGGGTATCGAAGATTGGTATTTTGGCGCTCATATTGAACGGGACATGAGGACGACCCGTTTCACCCTCATACCGGACGAGATATTGAGGAATAATATTTTTGGTGCTCATACCGGACGGCGTATAAGCACGAACGGTTAGTTGACAATATTGAATAAGGGTTCACGTGTAGTGGGGACATCTCTGTGGACCCCCATGGATACCAGTAGGCTGATAAAAAGGAAAAATTATTATTCTGGTTAATTGAATATGAGATTACAGTGTTGTTTGTGTTATTGTCTCTATAAGTCAGTTTTGAAAATCTCGCTACGGTAAGTATACAATAAAGAATTTTATTTATGATAAATGAATTTACTTAAATTAAGAGCTCAATTAGTTCTTTTCATGATTTTTACCAACCTTCATTTTTGTATCGGTGAGTAGTGTGACATTTTTACTGAAATAGTGTAGTTCATTCTTTC